AAATTACATTTCTTGGGATGCCTGCCTTTCGGTTTATACGAAATAATGGTGTTCACTTCCTAAATTTTTATTGCCATTGCATATAAGTCAGTCGTCATTATTTTGGTTGTGCATCGTATAGCCGCTAGATGTGACCAGCATAGATGCACATATAACGAGGTGTTGAGAGACAGTGATACCCACTTGAATGACTGAAGATGAAGCAGTCTTAAGGTGGAAGGAGACTTACCCGAAGGGGGAAGTACCAGGGTTTGGGAATGCCAAACTTTCCTGGGAACACGTTGTCCACGTACCAGGCTACGAAGGTGTACAGGATGATATCGATGAAAAGGACTATCCAAATCATGTCTACTCGCAGCATATCATCGGAGGAGACTTGTTTTGACAGAGAAGACCAGTGCAGTCCAGCACCTGCGGCAGAGGTTAAAAAAAGTGAAAGTTAAAATAGCAGTCCAGACGACCAGCCGAAAACGCAGGTACTCACATTTGTGCGCTGTCAAGGTTTTCAGTGAAATCAATTCGCGGCCCTTGACTACTCTGCATTAGCAATCAATAATCAAGGAGGAGCTAAAGGACAGAGTATAGGTGTACATGGCCCCGTTCAGCTTATTTATTGTCGTTAAGTGGCCATACTTGAACTTCGAGTGAGCGAAGCCCTGAATTGCTAGAAATCACCTGCGACATAGACTCCTTACCCTCCCTTCCTGACAACCAGTCAGAAGTTCACTTGCAGGCAAAACGAGTAAACATTTTGATCTTACTGCCCGTGTTTTGGTAGCCTATGTCTTTAGGGACCACGCAATCGAAAACGTTGGTTCAGCGTCTAGTCGTTGTATGTACTAATTTTCAACAAGCGCAAAAAAGTGACTTCCTCGTCTGCGTCAAATCATTAAGCTGTTAGAAAGTAAAACAGTAATCTGGCCCTCTGGCGCGTGACAGCTGGCCATAACCCTGCTGTCCACCGGGAAGATATTGAAGAGTCAACATCCATTTGGCTGAAAAAAGTTCACTACATCTGAGGCCTCCAACTAGCGAATGTATGTCTTGTTTGGAAAATGCAAGCTACGACGCCTGGTAAGATAGGGGAACATGAACTTGCCCACGCCCGGTAATCCAGCTGGCTTTCCGAAATATTCCAGGAGACGAGAATCGTCCCACGTGCTAACCCTAGCCCAAACACTCGCGCAAACCCTAGCGCCGAACTTCACGCTTACTATTAACCCTAATCATAAAATCAGCACTTATCTTTCAGCGCAAAGCACCCGAATGGGTAGGGGATTCAAATTGCCGTCTCTTGCCAAACTTCGGTCTATATGAGGCCATATTTACCTACCGGACAGCGTACTAAAACAGAAATAGGTTTAAATTCGGGATCAGTTTCCTGTGCATTAGGGAGAGGTACAACGTTTTGCAGAAGGTGGTCCGATTCGGTGTAAGGTCGCTGGAAATTGAGGCGGTAAAAAACGCACGAGTCTATCATAGGGTTGGTGCAAGAAAAGCAGGTCCTGATAGAACAACACAAAAAATATTTGAGGGTGCAAAAGGCAGCTTACCCACGCCTTCGAAATGACCGATCAGCTTGCTCAGAAAACCAATGGCCATGTTTGGTAAAAGACAGAAAGCGACCCTT